TCTCATGAAGAATTTCCTAACAGTCAGAGCTGGTCGGCAGTGGAATAGGCTGCCTCGGAATATGGTGGAGTCTCCTTTGGAGGCATTTCCTAACAGTCAGAGCTGGTCGGCAGTAGAATAGGCTGCCTCAGAGTGAGGTGAAGTCTCGCTCTTTGGAGGTTTTAAAGCAGAGGCTTGACGGCCATCTGTCGGGAGTGCATTGATAGAGTTCCTGCATGCCAGGGGGTCGGACTCAATGGCCCCTGTGGTCTCTTCCAACTCTGTGATTTTGATTTTATGTTTGCAGTGTTTCATGGGCACATTATGAATTACATGTGCAGGATAATCTGAATTGAAGATGTGCAATGTCTTCTGACAAATATGTGAAAACAGAATGGGTCAAGGGTATTTGTGCCATTTTGGAGTGACTGTAAGGTGAGCAAGGAGCTGCTGGTCACCCATGGGGTAACATTGACTCCCCCTCTCCCCTGAACCTTCAAACTGGCATCTGTGAGGTCAAACGATCAAGCCATCACCTGGTTTGTACCCATTTCTCACCAGTTTATATTCTCATTAGACTTTTCCATTTTACGGAAAAAGTTCTGTGTGCTTGACCTCGGGGTGTAGTCCTGCTTTCTGGTACATCTGTGTTTTGAATACCTGCCTTTCTGATCATGTAGAGCAACAACAGAACACACTAAAATGAAAGAAAAAAAGTACCTTGAAAATACATTACTGTGGCATAAACGTACCCAGTTGTCAGCAAATAATCACTTATAATATTTATTACAAAACAAATGTTTAGTGCATGAGCGGTAAATAAATAAATGAAGTTATGTTTTATGTGATGCAAATTCAATATTTCATCAAGGGAGCCATGCTTTCATGTTGTGTGCAAACACTGCACCCTGCTGGTTTTTAATTTAAAAAAAAGGCGGAAAGATGAATTACTTCAAAACCCACTTGGTTGTTAACCACACATGAACAAGGACTGAACTACAGGTGGGCAGTGGGGCTTGACCCAGGGTGCAGAAATTTAGAGATTGCAAAGCACCCGTACTGCTACTCACCTTTGAAACCTCCCGGTGCTCCAGGAGTTGTGAGCCACCTGCAATTTATGCAAGTGAAGAACAACAGCAGGCAAGACCGCTTTCCCCGACTTTTACTGAAGATGCAGGAGTGACATGGTAGCAAGCAATACAGTTGAGACTCTGTAAATAAAGGCACCAATGCTCTCCTTCTCTTCTGACCCTGGTGAGGTATATCTTGTTTTCTGGACAACCAATATCTTAATTCTCCATTCTGGGAGCTGTACTTACTTTACAGATGACCTTAGAAACACCTAAATGTGATGCACCTGGGAGGACAGCTGAAACTACAAAAGTGCTGAAGTTTAGCTAGGCCTAGTTCTACCCAAGTGTCGTGTTTCCTGGTCCAGTGTCAGCTGGGAACCATCTTACCAGGAAGCTTGGGCAGAGCTCAGCCTAGCTTAGCTCTAAAGCCATTCCTTAGGGCAATTATGGTTTTGTAGTCCAGAAAATCCAAAAAAGGAGAAGAAAACATCCTTTTCTGTCCTCTCTCCCCCTTCCTTTTTAGATCTTGACTCGTGAGTGAAAGAAAAAGGGAGACTTATGATGGGGTGGGTGGGTGACAGGGCTTCCCCATTAGATCCAGAGCGCTTCCAGATGGTGATCCTTCAGCCTATGTGAACAAGAGAGTAAACAAAAGGAAGTGGCTCCCCCAATTCTCCATCTTGCTTTCTTATTGTGCAAAAGACACCCAATATAACCAGCAACACAATCTTTAAAAGCCCCAGGCACCAAAAAGAGGAGTTATATACAATTTAAAGTCACACACAGTTGTGAAGTGTGTTGTTCAGGCTTCCAAATGGAAGAAAGTGGGTGAGTTGATGAAAGCTCCCCCCCAATTATTGCAGGCATTAAGCTTCATTAAGCCCACCTCTGCATTCTGTTTGCTGTGCAAGCTGGCCGGCTGACCACAGCCTGTGAACCATGTTCAAGGCCTACGAACAGCTGAATCAAACCCCAGTTTCTGCTGCCTGCCAGGGACTGTGAAACAAGGGCATGGTCAAGGAGCTGGCAGTGAGAACCCATGTCTGGTGAGTAGACCTGGTGCTAGTGTCCACCATGGCAGCACAAGTGCGGGACCCCCGGCAGGGTCCCGTGCCTCTCGGCTGCCGGTGCTGCCGGTGCAGTTGCTAAAACAGATTAGAAACCAGGGCTGTGGAAAGGCTAAGTGGCATCTGAGGCCATCTCGTCCAGCTCCCTGTTCTAAATCAGGAGTGGATTGATACTCCCACACTGTTTTGGATTAACCCACTTCTTTTTGATTGCAGCAAGCCACAAGCAGAGGACAAGCACTAAAGGAGGTGCCCCAGGGAAGGAACAGTGGAGAAAGCATGGCTCCGAGGAACAATACAGGGTGCAAGGCAATAATCCATGCCGGGAAGAGGAAGACAAGAAATAAGTCTGCGTAGACCTACACCACACAGTTACACCACTCTCCTACCACCGCTGCCATTACTCATTCCTACAGCATGTTGGGATTTGTAGTGTGTCGAAGTAGTGTGCTATATTTGTTGGGAAGAAGGCACTAGGGCTCCCTAACACCCCAACAAACTACAGGTCCCAGGATTTTGTAGGATGGAACAACGGCAATTAAAACAGTATTGAACTGATACAACTGTGAAGTATGGATACACAGTCACAAAACTGGCTTTCAGCTACAGATACACAGTCACAAAACTGGCTTTCAGCTATTTGAAGGATCCTTCCAGCCCAGCTCAGCAGCTAAAACATTAGTCTGCCTAAACCTGAGAAGCAGGTTTAATGGAGCACTTTTCAACTTGAGAACCACCTTCCAATACAGATTAAGTTCTTAAGTAGAGACCCCACTGTATTTGAAGGATCCTTCCAGCCCAGCCCAGCAGCTAAAACATTAGTCTGCCTAAACCTGAGAAGGTTTAATGGAGCGTTAAATGGAGCGATCGCTAAGCGAGGCACCACTGTACAAGATTAGGCCATGGGCTTAGTAGGTTGGAGAGACTGCTCCCAAATCTGAAGTTTGAGCCTAGAAAGGTGACTGTGGAGAACTTCGCACTTAAAGTTTTTACAGTGGGAGCATGAGGAAGTTTGATGAGCCTCACCGAGGCAAAAAAAGGTATTTAGCAGGCATCAGAGGGTGAGATTTTGTTGTTGCGGACCACACAGCGTTTGAATGGGCCGGAAGAGGCCATGAAGAAAAAGGGGGGGGGGCTTTGTACTTGATTTGGAAAATAATAATAGGGATTGGTAAAGAAAGAAATTTTTAAACCCAGGCATCAGAGGGTGAGATTTTGTTGTTGTGGACCACACAGTGTTTGAATGGGCCAGAAGAGGCCATGAAGAAAAGGGGGGGGCACTTTGTACTTGATTTGGAAAATAATAATAAGGATTGGTAAAGAAAGACATTTTTAAACAATAAATGGTAAGTAACTTCCTTTCATTTTCAGAAAAAACTCACAGAAGCTATTGATCGAGGTTCTGAACATGGCAGTTGTCTTTCAGCGAAAAGAAACTGAAGGGAGATACTGGGGGAGAGGACTGCACTAATGTATCTTTTTGCTGCCACAGAAGGTCTAGAATATTCCGATGCGTGGATCACCCACAGTGTGATTCACTGAGGCCATGAATAACTATTAATAATGAAGATAATACTGTATTACAAACATCACTTTGTGTCGACTTCCTTCCATTCCGTTCCCAAAGAATTGTGCAACATGGTCCTTTAGAACAGCCCCGTAAAATGGACAAAGACAGGGAGCAGAAGAAACAAAACCAACAGGACACAAAATTCATTTAAAATATCTATTGAAATTACAAATAAAACTCTTCAATATGATTCAAAGTACAAAACAACATTCAAAGGCATTCAACAGTTCTTTTATACATCACAGTGTTAGTGGCACAAAAATGTAGTTACATTTCAAATACAGAAAACAATTTATTATTATTATAATTTTACACTAATCAAATACTTATAGTACGTATGCATGACTCCTCTGTGCTTCTCTGCGTAAGGTTAAGAATCTAGCCATGGCAAAAAGGGGAAAGGTTTGGCTGTACACTGCCTGAAGTTCCTGAACTTTGTACCCAATGTCCCTGGATATTGTTGAGAGAATTAGAATAAAAGCAAGAACTACCACATGGCTTTCAACACAACTGGCAAACTATCACTTGATGGAAGTGCATTAGTGAAGTATCATGGCAGGGAAATCCTTCTTCATCCTGATACTGCCACCATTATCGTAACCATCCTCCTCACCAGTTCTTTCCATTTTGGCCCACCTGAAGTGAAGTTTCTGGGGCAGCCTCCTTTGTACAGCTAACTTTACCAGCTGGCTTTCTATGTCTGATACAAAACGGAGATGAATAGGTCTGGACGACAGAGGTGGGAAAGGCGTCTTTCCCGATATTCTGGGGCTGCAGTACACATCAGCCCTCCATCAGCTTAGCCGGTGTTGAGGGATGCCGTGAATTTTGATATCCCCCATCGCTGCTGTAGGCCAAGGCGAAGTACTGTGAGATATGTTATATATAGGAGTGTTTGCCTCTCTATGTTCCATGGCTTGGCTCTACCTGGAACTTCTCCGATCTTTTCCCCCCGTTTTCATTAGGGCAATGTTCACAATTACTTCTGGAATTAGCATGCAGAAAAATGGGGTGTCGTTTTCAGTCCATGTTTTTCTATGCCATCCTCACTGTAAAGGTTGTCAAAGGGGGAGAAATGTATTTACCTACAGAGGAGAAGAAGTCCTCCAGAGGAGTCTGATATGATTACATCAGTCACAGTATGAGGTTCGTTAACCTTTTGTGCTCAAGGGGAAAATACATGAAAGATAGAGCAGGAAATGAAAAATGGAAGAATTAATTAATCAGTAATCCATCAATAGAACTTTGGAAATGAGATGAAGTAATTCAGAAACTAAAATTCAAAGGAAGATTCCACGGGGGAGAATTTTGTAAGCATCCCTAAAAGTAACTTATTCTCTTTTCTTTTTACCAGATCTTTAAAATCACAGACGAGAGAGAGAGAGAGAGAGAGAGAGAGAGAGAGAGAGAGAGAGCAGAGAGAGAGAGAGAGAGAGATTTCCTTTTCTTCCTCTCATCCCTCTTCCACTTTGCTTTCAAACAGAAAGATAATTGTGCTAATTATATTAGATCATTTAATGTAGAAAAAGAATTCATAGAACTGGAGAGCCGGAAGGGACTCTATGGATCCTCAAGTCCAGCTTTGGTCCATAAAGTTTCTGTGTTGTTTTATATTTTAAAACAAACCATGAAATACATGTTGTCTGAACAACTGGGATATAAATGACATTGGGAGAAGATGGCAACTTTGTATGATAAAAGGATTCAAGCTGAAAATAATGGAGATGAATACTTAAGTCAGTGATGGGTAACCATCACTGACTCTTCTGTTGATGCCAGAAGCCTCAACAGAAGAGTCAATAGCTACAAGGAGTGTGGGTGTTATAATTTAAAACATATGTAAGAACAAAGGACATTTCCCCTCCCTCTTGTACACACACATCCTATATGCTTCTAAGAGAAGCTTGGCATAACCATTCACTCATAAAGTGGGATTTCTTTCTAGCTGGGCTAGAAAACTCGCATGCAACTCAAACAATCCGACCAGCCAAACAACACCACAGGGACATGGTTCCTAAACACTAAGTGAAGCGACACTAGTCTTGTCCAATAAATTCATATCATCAACTATCATGGAAAGTGGATATAAGGCAACAGTAAGCAAAAGTTTTAAAAAAGAAAGCAGGTGATATGCAGAAGGTTAAAATTCAGTTTTCATTTGAAAAGAATTAGAATTCCAGAAACACATACACAAAACCAGGCTATTTATTTTTCCCAGATAGGAAACGTCACATTTTCAGTTTTTAAGTTATATGCTGTCTGGGGCAATTCTCTTCACTGGGATACGCAACCATCCTTTAATTACCAACAAAGAGCAACTACCTGATCCAAAGAAGGGCCCCAAGCATGAAATGCAGAGCAATGTGTCTCATATGCATAACATTGATTTGAAAGCATGGGCACAGTGGCCAGAGGCTTTTCCTAATTCAAGTGTTTTTAAGGTATTAGATGTGGTATGTTAAGAAGAGCACCCCTTCTGAAGATAGACCCAAGGCCATGATCTGAGGGCAAAAGAGTACAACGCTCATGCCGTACACACTCTGGAGGTTCTCTACATACAGGTGGGCGAGCACACATGCACACACACATATTTCACACTCAGCAAGTTGGCAAAAGTATATCTCAGCATTAAATGCATAGTGCGTATCTCTCTGTCTGTTGTTAGCTGATAGTGCATACAGTAGGGTAATGGTGGTGACCTGGATCAGAGCTGCATAAACTTTTTATGTAGAAAAGTTTAATTCCCCACCCGCATCATGGCAAAGACCCTCCCCTCCAATGCTCACCTCCTGTGAATTTTAATTAGGGTTTAAGGGAAAAAGAGTTGCCAGAGGCGCCAAAGAAACCAGAAACGGGCACCCTAGATTAGAAGGCCTTACTGATCCTGGTTGACTCCACAAATTTTGACCTAAAGGATAAGAAACGGGAAAGCTGGACGGAATCAATTTGTCACCATTTGTTGGCCGTTATGACCAGAACAGCTGGAAAAAATGGCAGAGGACAGAGTTCCCTGGATGCTAGACTGGACTTTACGTGACAATTAGAAGCAGATATGATCTTTATCATGCTGTGGTAGCAATATGAAGGGATTAATATAATATCTCAACATGCACTTTAACAACTATTTAGTTTGTTCTTGACTGGATACGTTACGATAAAAATCTAAGATCCTAAAATTGGGGAAGCAAGCCCCTTTCCTTCCTACCGTGTAACTGTAGATTAAAGGGTCCATTTCTCTGGCATGCACAGACATTGGGACTTGCTGTTTGTTAGGCACATGTTCCACCTCACCGCTTTCCTCAAAAAATCCAAACTACAGCTTGCTTTCTGCTCTGAAATAACTCCTGCTCCACACACATCTGAAGAAGCAGCTTTCAGGAACAGATGATGTGTATTTGTCTTATATCTTTTCTTTTTTTTTAAAAAACCCTTTCCTTGGTTTGGAAATCAATTATAACTGAGGGAGCAGCTTATAGCCCTTGCCTAAAATAATGTCAAACCATAATGCTGATAATTGATAAGAGTGTCCACATTAGTCCGTGAATGAATCAAAACAGTGATGCTGAATTGCTATTTGTATTTGATGCTGATATTGCACTCCCTTGGGAGAGCTGCAGTGTTTCCCATCATACAAGAGCCCAAACAACAGGAAAACAACAGAAAGATATAAAATGAAGAGGGCCAAAGGAATGTTTTAAGAAATACCCTTTGTTGTCCATACAGCATAAAAATATTTGTGGTTTTTTTTTTGTAACCGACAAAAATGCTTCCAGTTTTTTTTTAACCACTCCTTTGAATTTAGAAACAGGCATACTTTTATACCAGTCTACCCTAATCTGGCACTCTCTGGATGCTTTCAACTATTCTTCCCATCGTCTCCCGCCTCAAAGAGCATGACTGTATATACTGATGGTTGCAGAAGCACATTTAGCACAGCGAGGCCCCTGTCGTCCTTGTGACAGAACAGTTCAGAGCCCTGTCATGGATAAGCATAAAGTTTGACAGCATCCTTGCTTCTCCGGCCACACCAAGTATGGGGTGCCTACCAGCCACTGAACACGCTCAAGACAGACCATCCATCTGCCCACCCTCCTCCCTGTCAGTGGTTCCTGGGGATTTAAGTCATGCCAGTCAAACAGTGAGGAGGAACAGCATATGCACATTTCCCATTCACGTAGTGGTTATGGCATGCACCAAGGGACGGTCCTTTATTCCCTGGGGTAGTGAAGATGATGAAGGAAAGTGAAAGAGGTGGAGCCCAGTACCCACTCTGATCTATGTGCAGAGCAGTGCCCAAGAGGGAAATGAGCATGGCCACAGTTTTCCATATAGGTCTCTGCCCTAAGAACAGCCAAGTCATGCACCTTGAAGCATCACAATATTCAATTATCTGCACATTAAGTTTAAACAGAATTCTCTTTTCTCTCCCCTTCCCTCTCCTCCTCCTTCTCTGTACATAAAAAAAGACACCTGATAAGAGGTAGCCCTATTAATGTAGTCAATAGCTAGTAAACAGCTAATGCAAAATCTAGACGGGGGTGGGGGGAGAAAGACAATTTTTCAAGGAAAAATGGTTAGAAAAGAGCAACACTTCGGAAGCAGGTGCGGGTCAAATATGTACATCAATCTCAAATCTTTGCCAAAAAGGGGGAAAAAGAGCAACATTAAAAAAAACACAAGTCCACACAAATAACTCTCACCATTTCCCAGAATGTTTGGGGGACAGAAATTGGGATCTCTTGTCTTTGAAGGACGAAAGGCACAGGGTGGCCTCAAAATGTACCCTCCCGCTTGGCCATCGTTTTGCGTGTCAGAGAGGCATAAAGGCTTCTGGACGCTGAGACATTTCCCTATGACAAATACTAACAGAAACAGATATTGAAAGTCGCATGGGCTGAACTGGCAAGCAATTCTTAAAAACACATAGGTTTAGTAATAAGACTCCTCAGTTAGATGCAGATAGATATGTGGAAACTCCCTCCAGCTTGCAGGCGAGTAAGGAACCGTTTGCATTATGGATGCCTATACAGTATCTCTGACGTTCCCTTTGCTTCATGGCAGTCTCTGTCATGCCACCCTGGAATGCCTTCATCCCTGTAATCCAGCAGATGAGTAAAACTGACAGTGACTAACAGTAATTCCAGGAATCATGGCACCAAATTGTCTTGTTCGACGTCAGGATTGGGGCAAGTAAGGCTATGACCATATGAAGTGCAAAAAAAGGGGGGGCAGGAAATGGACTGTGAGGATGAGCCAGTTCCGTCTCCCTCTGTCCTAAGTAGGGAGAGGGTCATCATCTCCTTTACTGCACTTGCATTTGCAGCAAAGAACGAAAGGGGTAGCCAGCAGAAGGAACGGAGACGCCACTAACAGCAGCAGGCCGAATCCTGCAAAGATGCCCACAACCTAGATGTAAAAAGAGACAGAAGGAGTGATTTCAGGGGATGATTTACTCAAGTTTTTTTTTATCTCATTTCTCTCCCCCCCATTCCCCAAACAGGGATTCAGGGTAGCTCACAATAAGATTAAAAACAGATACCGCTCAAACCACAACATCTGTAATACTTAAAGCACAATTAAATCATTCATAACATTAAAGGACTTATATCATTTTATATCATTTAAACCAATTATAATATTAAACCCTCTACTGAATTAAACAACACTTGAAGTTAAGACACTGTTCTCAAATTCTGCTTTAGGGGGAAAATCTGTCTCTCTCTTAAATTTGTTGCATTGCAAAGGAGATGCCTACCCATTCTTTCTTGTTTTGAACAACCCACACTGAAATAAAAATACAGGTTATCTGGAAGAATGGTTTTGAAAACTGTTGTTCCTCTTTGTGACAAGTTACACATTTAAGGAGGAGTGTGTGTTACTTCCAGTCCTTTCCCCTCTTGCATCCTTTTGCATGCCTTAGTTACCCACTCTTTGTGGGGCCACCTCTGAAGATGGTTCAGGGGCTTAAACTGCTACAAAATGGTTGCTAAGACTGTATAAATCCCCCACACACACACACATACACTCCCTGTCATACTAACTACACAGGCTGCCAGGTTGTTTTCAAGTTAATTAACTTCTCTAAGCACTAACATTTCAATTTAGGATTGCTCATTTATTATTTTATTTATGTTTTTGTTAATTATAAATCTAAGAAGATCCTGTTTGACTTAGGCTAAGAGGACTCCCAAATCTCTCCTTCTGGATGCATGTTCTGGGTTAAAGAGGTCTTCTGAACTATGTGGGCACAGTTCCTGCCCTCAAAACAAACAAAGAAAAAAAAATTAAGCTTTTTTAAAAAAAGGGCCAAATGCATGGCTGGGTGGAGGAAAACACCAGTTGTTGGAGTTTACACGTCTGCATACTTTGAAACAGTTTTCCTCAGCCTAGATAACATTTCAGTAGAGGCAGAGATGGAACCTGGAGGACAAGTAGCAAGATTATGCAGAAACTGAGTTATATTTGCCCTTGAGGAAGGCACACTGGTCGAAAACTAAAGGGCTAATCTAATTATTAAACACAAACTTTTAAAATGTAATATTCAGTCTATGCTGCCTTGAGTGCCACTTGTGCAACAAAAAAGGTGGGATATAAAGTGATGGAGTGAATGGACAGAATTTAGTTTAAGGGAGGATTAAAAACCTTCAAATTAGTAATGTTGCCAAGAGCTCCCTGGGCAGAAAGAATTGATAAACAAAATGACATTGATTTAATAACCATCGGCTTAAGGGCCAGCAGAACAGATGCAGAGTTTCCTAGACTAATGGGTTTAGTTTTTCACATAATATGGCTATAATCCTTCATACATGCAAGAAAAAGTGGAATAAAGGGTTAAATACTTCCTAAATATCATGAGTTTCCTCCAGTTTTGCTTTAGCTTTCCTTTTATTGGTGTTGAAAAAAAATATATTGTTTTGCCAGCTGGGGGCACTGTTGGACAACATTCATTTCAAAGAGCACTCCATACATTATGTAAAAACATATTTGGAGGTCTTTATTCGTCTTTTTAAAAATCCCATGACTTAAAAAAAGTTGGTGAAAAAGCAAACTGATGATTGAATTCAATCTGTGCTTTATATCGTACAAAATACGTCTCCTTCCCTGTTCAGCTCCCTATCAGACATCTCTACGGGGTAGGTTTTGTATATACACCAAAGGTCTGTAATGCATGGCTTTTACATCAGCTGCAGCCCTTTACAATTTTTAAAATGTTTTCTGATGTTAAAATAATGGTTGTAAAATCAGTGGATAACCATCGGCACTGTGGGTCACCTTAATTTCCTTAAATTATTTGAGATTTGCAATGATGCCTGGAAATTGCTATCCCCTTTTTTATTTTCCCCTGCCTGGCAAAAGTACATAGTTTAGAGATGGGTCTTTTGGAGAAAAAGCGAATTCCTTGTCCCATGATACCCTCTTAATGGAGGCGGCTGCCGTCCACACTTGTACCCCCGTGCACCCTTGTGAGTCGCAGGGAATCTTCTCGACTCTCGTGCCTTTCAGAGGTGTGAAGAAATTGCACGGGAACAGTGTGGAGGTAAGAGGGCTGCTCCGCCTCTTGCCAGTTTGATAATTTGGTCTGGGGGGGGAGTTCCTGATGAATTGTGGGATTCGGAGGTCATCTTCCCCCCCCCTCCAAAATCCCATCTCAAGCTAAGAGGAGACTAAAGGCAGCGTTTCACAGCACTCTCTGCCTCACTGCCAGTGAAGTAATGGTGCCCTTCTTCTCCCAACAACCCACTTCAACGAACATCCAAGAGACCTCTCAACAATTCAGAAAGGACCCAAGGGCCATCCTGTCACCCCACCTCGGATTGGGGTTGCTGGAGGACGTGCAGTGATCGCACATACAGGCAGAATTGCTGCAGCGGTTCTGTTGCCAGCAGCAGGCCCAGGATAAGTCCCCAGGGAGCTGGCTGCGGATCTGTTGGATCTAAAGCAGCTCCATTTACCCAGCCAGCCCTGATCCGGGCTCAGCCCTGGAGCCGGCACAGCCAATCTTCACGACTGTGTTAACGGCTAGGGAGAGTGAGGCGTCCATTCTGAGCAAGAGCCGTGGCAGGTTCTTCCTCACTGGAGAGCAGCATGGCAGCTGTGACACATCCTTCCGGCCTCCCTGAACTGGCCTGGTGCCTGAGTCGCAGGGACACTGTGCCACTGCCAGTGCTGAAGGGAGAATCAGGAGCTCAACCTGTTTGCATTTGAAACTCACCTGAGAACTGGGTGCCCTCTTGCACTTCACCTGAAAACAGCAAACTCAGCCACATTTACTATCTCTTTCTGTCAACTGCTCTCTCTCTCTCTCTCTCTCTCTGTGTGTGTGTGTGTAGGCAAAGTTAGAAAACCTAACAGATCACATTCACACACACTTTCTGCCCTGCCCAGCATGAACTGGCAAGAGGGGACTTTGGGACATCAGGACTGAGAACGATTCCCTAAAAATGGTCTCCCTCCTGTACCTCAGATCTGCTTTCATCTGAAATACTGACAAGAAAACCAAGCCAGGAATATCATCTCCTGTTAAAATTATTATTCTCTTAAGCAAAACCTCCCCCCCCCATTCCCCACCTCCTCTCTGAGCCACAGCTCTCCTGGTTTACTTTTACTGCAACGTAACGGTAACAACGCCAAGAGAACGAAGGTGCTACTAGGCGCAAAGGGCACCTACCTGTGTTCTGTGCCAAATAACAGACGCCCTCGAATGACCTAGCTTGTTTCGGCAAGGCCCTTTGTCATAGTGTATAAGGAGGAAGTCATCCTGTCAGACATCAGTAAAGACAAAAGAAGTCAGTGGTGGCAGAAGCTACCAATCAATTAAAACATTACAGAAGGGTGCTTGTTATTTTGCAGAGCTGTGGAGATCAATCCGCCACATTTTTATGCCGAATCATTTAAAGCCTAACTCATTTCACTGGAGCTTAATCCAGAGACAGCACGCAGAGACTGGCAGCTTCAGGGTTCTGTCACAGAAGAGGGATGGTTTCACTTGCTTTTTGGTTCCAGACAGAAATCATGTCTGCAGCCAACATTTTCCACATGTTTCTACACGAAAGAATGCATTTATTCAGGTTCTAGGAATGGTTTGGATATCGAGTGTGGTGTAGTGGACAGAGTACAGGACTAGGAGTCTGAAGGCCTGGGTTTGAATCCCAGCTGAGCCATGGAAACTTACTTGGGGAATGGAACTGGTAAAATCACTCCTTAAACAGCTCACATACCATGAAAGCTCTCTTAGGGTTGCTATAAATTGGTTCCGACTTTAAAGCATGTAACAACAACATTTTCTACCGAGCCAGAGGCATGGTTAAAGTCTTGAGAGAGCAGTTGATTCCACAGACCTAAAATTTCCCTTGCTCAACCCACACCAAAGCGCTGACCTTCCCCCCCGTCCACGTTCATGTTGGACCCATGATATCACAAAATTGATTGGCATAATAGTTTCTGCAGGGGAGCTTGGATCTGGTCTCCTCCTCTGTGATCCGTACCTTCTCTGACCGCTGCGCACATGTCTGCTGGTCTATTCAGCAAGCAGGCCACATTCTGTAAGGTGGTCCGAGGGATCACAGAGATAGGAGAACAGCCTGATATGAACTGGCATTTACTACCTATTACAGGGATAATCTGAATGCCAGCCTCCTCCTCTTGCATTAAATTATTCAAATTGAAAAGCGTGCTTACATCAAGCGACTCCAGACAGTACCAGCAGAAGGCATGTTTACAGTTTTTGCACATCATTTGGGCACAGCCTTCATCCCGTTCAATATACACTTTGCATTTCGGGCAGCGTTTGATTGGAGCATCGTCTTCTTCCATTTTATAAACTGAGCTGGAAAAGAAACTGACAAATATTACAGGAGAAATGGTATTTGAAAGCTGCATTTTAGTCCTGGATGGTTTAACCAGAGTGCTGCTGGCTTACACAATCATGGACGGACACTCCAGCAAGTGTCTCCCTCACAACCAGTTATACAAGGGTTGAAAAGCCAGGTGTGTGACCAGTCATAGGGCCAAGTATTCAAAGCACATC